CTCATTATCATTCACTCCACCGGCCCCGCCCCACTCGTCACAATCATTATATGCTTAAACATTAAGATTTGTTCTCATGGAAATTACTAAAGTAGTCAAACCTGTTCATTAGAAGGGGGTGTCCCAATACTTTTGGCAATATAGTGTATGAAGAATATTACTTTTACATCATTTTTTTGGAATGTTCTCATCACAAATGATCTTTATTAGGCTGAGGCAATTGGAGTGAATCCTCTGTACATGCTGATTCCTACGGCCCTATGTGTGTCCTTTTCATTCCTGCTTCCGGTTTCTAATCCTCCTAATGCCATTGTCTTCACATATGGTCATCTGACAAGCATGGACATGGTGAGTCCCTACAATTTTGTTCCTTTGGATCATTTCACATGTACATTTCATAAAATGTCAATGGTAAATCTTATATTATACAGTAACTGAGCTTTGTATGGTTTTCCTTGTCACTATAGGTGAAGGCAGGTCTGGGCGTAAATGTTATAGGTGTTCTTACAGTCATATTAGCTCTTACTACATGGGGAACACCTCTGCTTAACTTGGACACCTACCCAGACTGGGCACCGATTGTAAACGGCACTGGAGTATGACCATCTCTGTGAATATTTTACAAATGTGGACATTTAGTTTTCAATTTACATGGGACCCCTTGACATTGGCTGAATTGTTGACAGTGCAAAGCCCACAATCCAAATGTATTACTTATTTGGATCACTTGGGCAGGATTGTATGACCAGCTTCGATTAGGCAATACAACAGACTTAAAGCTTTGGTTTCCATGAGAGGTTCAGTTTGAACGTCATTGTTTATATGTTTTTGTATTTTAAGCATTTTAATAATCTTTGTCATCAATGGCTCAAGTCCATGATTCCTTTTACCATTTCCTTTTTTTTTTTGAGGGGTTCAAAGAGACTAGTAAAAGCTGTTAAAAACATGTTTGGTGTACAATTCAACTGCAATTTTTATACAAAATGTATTATATTAAAGATATTTCTTTAGCTTTAAGCAGAGTTTGCATGACAGGTTTAGTTCCGTCAGTTAACATAGCACTTAATGTTTTATAGAGTTGTATATTTTTGTTATATGCTTGCCTGTACATATATACAGATAAGTGAACTGTATGAGTAGAATGTCGAAATTCCATTGTGAAAAAAGGAGATCTAAAGAGTAAATAACAGACAACATTTTCAAGAAAGTACACATTCTCACTTTCAACATTAGGCACAAACTCTCACATAACAGTGGCTAGAAAATAATAGCTATTGGTTTTAGGTGAGTTACTCAGCTGTTTGATTTCTTGCAAAAAGTGAGCATTTCTAGCCAGTGCTCCTATTGAGCTTCAAAGGCATCAGTCAGAGAATTAGATCGTTTAACAGGTTTTTGGTTCAAATATCAAGGATACATTTTGTTTTTAACTTTACAATGTTTTTGTTTGTTTCAATACCATTTTAAAATTCACTCTTACAGAATTTTGTATTTTGAATGGAAACTCAATGTCAAATTTGGTTGACATCCATTGTTCATACTGTATGTGCTTAATGTAAAATGTTTCTTGTTACGACTAAAACTGTGAGATGGTTACTTTCTGTCTTGTGTGTTCTTCGTGTGTTTCACTACTTTGGCAAGAAAAAAAACATTTAAATAAATATCTGGAACCATTTAGTCACGGCTGTGTCAGGAGGAAGGCGAAAGAGACAGCTGGTGCAAACCAAACTTTCAGTTTAATAATAAAAAGTCAGACGGACAATCCGAAACACAACGTAGAATAACTGTGACCAGACAACCAAAGACTGAACAGACTGGGGCTTAAATACAAGACAAACGAGGGTAATAAACTAGACACAGGCGATACAGGATAATTAAACAATGAGCAAAGGAACTTAATGAAGACAGGAACATGACCAGATAAGGAAAAACAATGAAAACTAAGACAAAACAAACTGAACATGTGACACATTTACAGTCATCATGTTTTAGTGGGAATTCATACTGATTTTAATAAACAATGCTTTGCAATCTATCAGTGTTAATTGAACTGTGCACTGAGTGGATTGTCTCATGTCTAATTACTGAATCTCAAAATTGAATGTTTTGACAAATCTAGTCTGTGTGGCAGACTTATCAAAGAGATTCAAGAGGCTGATTAACTTTGATAAAATGAGGTTACAAAGAAAAATTGTCATCTATTTCTGTACATAAGCGGTGGTTGTTTAGCGATAAGTAATGCACCTACACAGAAAAAATGGCTCTGAAAGTACATCTGTCCTAACTTCTTTCACATTTAATTAGGGCGAAAGATCGCAAAACAAAATTATATAATAATTAAAATACATGAGACTTTAAAGCTGATGTAAAACAAAAGAGTAGGCTCTAATGCGCCATTTGAATGGGCTTGGGCTAATATTTGTTCTCAGAGTGAGGCAGTGATGAGAACTAATTCTGTAAACTACCCACGTTATGAAAATTCATGCTCGGATCCTGCAGCCATTGTGATTCAAGGTCACTGTTCAGTTGTGTCTGAGGTAATGACAGGCTGTCTGAAGGGTCTAACCTGATTATGTATTATTTAATACTTATATACTTAATGATTGTACAAGGACTGATGAGTTTAACAATCAGGCAATAGCTTTTCTGCAAGCCTTATTGTGAGTCACTGCAGTCATTCTCCCTGGGTGCACAGGTCAGCAAGCTGAATATGAACCGTGGTTTGCTTTTACAGATAGTTTTCTGTTGTTCAGAAGAGCATTTCGACAAAAATGGTTGATAATTCTCATTTTGCTCTCAGATTTGAATTGGAGTACATGATTTTGGTTTGGTGGTTGCATACTCCGTGGTCTGAAGGTTACATTTTTAAATTTCAAATTTAATTATCTGTGACTGAAAACGAGTCTGTGAGGGATAAACAGCTTGTAATGGATTGTAATGTTTTGCACTTTGCTGTTGATCATTCAGTTGATGGAATATTTCAAAACAGACTGTACATTTAACTCTCATTTGTAGGAATTATGTCTGATTAGGGTCTCAGCATCTGTATTTTATATATACACTTAAAAATATACTTTTTCGCCAAGTATATATTAGAAATCGCCATTTCTAGTTTGTGTCTTTTCTATCTATACACTGCCTGCCAAGAGACTGGGGTATAGAATTGTCTTGTGAACCTGTTTGTCTATGTGGGATTGATTGGCATTGGATAATAAAAATGAATAGGTGCAGTGTTGAATGTATTAATGTTTGACCAATTAATAGTGGTGTAAATTTAACACGAAAACAATAGTTTGCAAGTTGCATCGGAATCTACAGACTGCACCTTTAAGAAGGGAACCTCCCACGTGTTGCATGTTGTCCATGCCACAGGTTGCTTACCTGTCTCGCATAACTCTCCTCCACTAACCTCCTCGCGCTCGCTCTTTTCACAAGAGAGAAATAAAGAATGTTGCTCAATCCAACCTTCTCCGAATCGCTCTCGGATTGACTCCGCCCTCAAAAGTCTCGCGACTGACACATTTGACATTCTCTCAGAAAAAAACCTCCGCTTTTGTGGTCGAGGTCGTCAGAAACCTCTCGGGGTTCCTCGCTTTTCCCACAGCTGCGAGGAGTTGTCGCCTCTCGGGTGTCGACTATGCTGGACCCGTCCTCCAGCGATGAATCTGAGGGCGAACTACCACCTGAGGACGAACCGCCCGTTAAAACCGGGAAACCTATTAAAAAGAGTCCCAAACCTGAAAAGACGTCGGACGCACCGCGAACCCAAACCAAGGAGCCGGTACCTTCTCCCGCCGATGCGGACAAAACCGAGCAGGAGAGACTTAAGAAAGAAGAAGCGGAGAGGAAAATTAAACTACAAATTTATGTGTTTGTGTTGAGATGTATCGCGTATCCGTTTAACGCCAAACAGCCCACAGATATGGCTCGCCGCCAGCAGAAGGTGAGTGACCGTTAAACCACTGTTTGGAATATTTCGCGCTTTAAATTAACGCGCGCGTGCCGAGCTCACCTCAATCCATTGAAACCGCCGCTGCCAAAAACCTGTTCACTGAGGCAAACTTTTGTCTTTTACACCCAACGCATCGGTCAGGGGCTCAGAGTTTTGGTTCAGTAGTTGCAAAGAGTACTTTTACAGGTTTTAAAGAAGATTTGTAAGACTGTCAACTGCAAATTCTTGGGCATCCCACTTTTAAATGTTTGTTTACTGTGATCATATACAGTAGCCTACCTGTGTTACCTATCAACTATTTGGAGCTTCAAGCTAAATTATTTATTTATTTATTGATAAAAGTGCAAGGAAATGTTAGCAATGGTATCACACTTAATTTTTTAGTTGCTATGAAATTATAAAATGTTTTGTTTTGCAAGAGAGACAATTTCTAACATCAAATCGTTTAAGACATATAACATTGTTTTATATATAAAATCTGCAATATGCATGCAATCTATAGTGCCTGCATGTAACAAACACATTCAAGCGATTCCTAACAGCATAAATAACATAGCATACAAATATGTGAATTATTTATGATGGGAGAAAAATCAATTAAAATAGCTTTTCTCAATGCAGTTCTTCAGATAAAAATGTGCAACACTGCTCCATGCCAGAAAATGATATTAAAATGACCAGCAGGATGTAGTGTGACCAAGAAAATAAAACAAAACAAAACTTTTTATTGGTTTATGACATCCCTTCATATTTAACATTGTTGTCATATTATATGCATCATGTGTTTAAAATGTGTACAAAATGGTTTTGTTGCCCTTAGTGGAACATCACTGTAAATATACAAAAATATTATTTGTTTGGGGTTGTCAGCCTACCACACTGGTAGAACTCTTTGGACAACCTCTAGGCACCCATTTGAAAGGGCAGTTCCCTGAAGAACTGGCAACTTCATGCAAGAACTGTATAGATTGTCAACAATTCCCTTAGTAACCTCATCAGAAGGAAAAGGCTTTGAGGCACTTGAAACATATTTTGAACTTCTATGAGTACACAATATTTGAGGCACCTTCAGAAGGGTGCCTAGAGGCTCTCAAGTGGGTTCTGCCAGTGTGGCAGACTGAGGAACCCCAAATGCTGCCTCGAGTCGTCTTTTCATTTTTATGGTAAATGTTGCACCATGTTGCCTCAGGGTAATAAAGCACTTGTCTTCACTTCACAAGTTCTTGCAGATGAGATGGATAATATTAAAGGGATGACTTAGGGAAAAATGTTCTTGGTTACACTGCCTCATGGTCATTATAATATCTTTTTTTTTTTTTTTTTGCCATGTTACATTATGTGGAGGAATAGTTCACCAGGATAAAAATGATGTCATCATTTGATCACCCTCCTTGTTCCAAACCCACAAGTGCTTTTGTTCATCTTTGGAATGCAAATGAAAATATTTTGAATATTCTTTCATCATTTTTGACCACTAATTGAAAGTCTAGATAATCTACATTTTCAAGCTTTCAGTTTGGGGCTTTTAAATGCGAAGGTGTGTAATTGGTAATAGAATTTACATTTTTGGGTGAACTATCCCTTTTAAGTAAATATGAGAACAAGAACTTAAATGGTTAAACAGCAGCTTTGTTGTGAAATTATTTCTCTCCTCTTGCTATAAATGTAGAATCACGTATGAGAACAGGCACATATGCTATTTTTTACCAGCACACACCCACTACCTCTAACATATACTGCTTTTTGGAATCGACCTATTAAGTGATTTTAGTTTCTGTTTCTGCCTAATGCATGTAATCATACTTCTAAAGCTGGAAATATCCTCAAAGCAATTGTTTAAAAAAGGACTGATAATAACCCGTTATCAACTTTGCACCTGTGGGACATGTAAATTGCATTCCAATTCGAGGTGTGCTAATCTTAACTTTATTTTTGCTCTAGGAAAGCTTGTGAAATACTTCAGAATTGTATTTTTACTCATAGACTGATAAACAAGAGGTGGCAAATGAGAAAATAAAAGCTTTTCCTCAAAATTATTTTTATTTTATTTATTTAGTCATTTATAAGTCGCTTTTATCCAAAGCAACTTACAAATGAGGACAACAGAAGCAATCAATTGTAGTATTAAAACCACTAAAAACGGATCCAAAACTAAAAGCTAAAACTTTATAAATACTACTTATACACATTTTAAAAATAAAGAAATTAAATAAAAATGACAAATGCATACAACACAATTTCAAAACTTAACATTTAAATGAAAAACAAACAATAAATCTAAAAACAATTCAAAATATTAAAGAACAAAAGGCATAAGAGTATAATAATGATTCTAACATAACACCAAGCCAAACACCAAAAAACAACTACATATAGAGTGCTGTGAAAAGGTTTTTGCCCCCTTCCTGTTTTTAAATTTTTTTGCATATTTGTCACACTTAAAAGACTCGGATCATCAAACAAATTTTAATATTACACAAAGATAATGCAAGTAAATACAAAATTCAGTTTTTAAATGATGATTTCATTTATTAAGGGAAAAAAGCTGTCCGATCCTACGTGGCCCTACGTGAAAAATTAATTGCCCCCTCCGGTTAAATCATGAAAGAACTGCAATTAACCACGTTATTTTAGAAAGCGGAGTTAAATTTCACTAGCCACACCCAGAACTGATTACTGCCAGACATGTTGAATCAAGAAATCACTTAAATAGAACCTGTCTGACAAAGTGAAGCATGCTTAAAGAGCAACACATCATGCCGCGATCTAAAGAAATTCAAGAACAGATGAGAATCAAAACAGTTGACATGTATCAGTCTGGAAAAGATTATAAAGCCATTTCTAAGGCTTTGGGACTCCAGCGAACCACGGTCAGAGCCATTATCCCCAAATTGAGAAAACTTGGAACAATTGTGAACCTTCCCAGGAGTGGCCGGCCGACCAAAATTACTCCAAGAGCGCAACGACGACTCATCCAAGAGGTCATAAAAGAACCCAGAACAACATCTAAAGAACTGCAGGCCTCACTTGCCTCAATTAAGGTCAGTGTTCATGATTCAACAATAAGAAAGAGACTGGGCAAAAACGGCATCTGACATCCAACGGCAAATCCAACGGAGTTCCAAGGCAAAAGCCACTGCCGACCAAAAAGAACACAAATGCTCGTCTCTCATTTGCCAAAAAATATCCCCAAGACTTTGGGCAAATATTCTGTGGACTGACGAGACAAAAGTTTAACTTTTTGGAAGGTGTGTGTCCCAGCTTCTTAAAGACAAACTAACAGGTCTGTGAGAGCTAGAATTCTTGCTGGTTGGTAGGTGATCAAATACTTATTTCATGCAATAAAATGGAAATTAATTATTAAAAAATCATACAATGTTATTTTCTGTTTTTTTTTTTGATTCGGTCTCTCACAGTTGAGGTGTACCTACGATGAAAATTACAGATCTCTCCATTCTTTGTAAGTGGGAAAACTTGAAAAATCGGCAGTGTATCAAATACTTATTTGCCCCACTGTACATATTTATAATTACATATTTATAAATTCAATATATATATTATTTCATTTCCATTTAGTTTGTTGAAGTATTAAAATAACTCAAATTTAATAAAAGTAAAACTTAAAAGACCTATACAGACATAATAAATTCAGACATAATTTAACTAAAATTTAAATAAATAACAAATACAAATCAAACGACAGTAGTTTTGTCAGTAATCCTAAAAAATAACACTGCCAAACACACATGCTAAAAAACAACAACTTACTTACACATAGTAAGAAATGGTTATAAAAACTGAAACAGAAGTGAAACAGGTAGTAGGATTATTTATTATTACAAATTATCATATGTTCATGGCGATTTGTTAAAGAGGTCATATGATGCTGCTAAAAAGAACATTATTTTGTGTATTTGGTGTAATGAAATGTGTTTATGCGGTTTAACTTTTATAAAGAATATCTCTTTGGTTTTTAGACTTTAGTGTTTGCAACTTTACAGATCTTCTTTATGCACCAAGAGCTTGTAACACTCCAAAGAGAAAGGAAAAATTGAAATCGCATCATATGACCCCTTTAAGGAGAAATGTATATGAGAAAGCTGTCTGTAAGCGTTCTCATTCAGACATAGGAAATTATGTCATAATGATGCTGATTGGCTAAAGGCACAATATGTGACTATCTTGAAAGGCAGCAGAAAGGTAAAAATTGTGTTTCAGATAGGCCTACTTTTAGGAGCCCTACAAAAACAAATTGGCACTGGAAAAACATCTACAATATAACAAAATTGTGCATCAAAAAGACCAAATCTGAAAACAGACCAATTTGAATGGCAAACAATCAAGAAAGTTTTTGCAGCCAGACAGTGTAGTTTTGGCATTTACCAGCAGTGTTTCTTGGGGTCATGATAACAAGTCAAACCTTGGCCCCTTAGTGGCTGTATTCATAAAGGCACTTTAGTTATTCCAGTTTGTTGAATTGCCATGGATCCTGGTATGGTGGTCTACACTACTATTATTATTTTTTTCTTTGCTTTTTATTTCATAAACTAGCTACACTTTTGTGGATTTCAAGTGCAATGTGTGTCACAAAAATACCACCCTGTCAGTTTAGTTTACTTGACTTCTATTCACATTAAACAGATGTACACTGTAGACAGAAATAGGAAAGGAAGAATTCCTGGAGATCTGCTGATTTGTACATGCTTATTTCTTTACATTAAATTTGAGAATCTTTACAAGTTCCACAAATTTGAGTCTAAATGATCCTCCAAGTCATATAGTGCAAAAGCAGAAGAAAGCTGAGTTATATGCATCCAATAAGACCCCATGACCTCCATTCAATTTAGAATTATGGCCTATTGTTCAATCAAAATGCTTAAGGGCACAACCATGGTCTCGCCATAAAAGTTGGACGACACAAGTATCACCCCTAATTACACATAAAACAGAGAAGAAATAAATCTACCTTTAGTCTTTGTTGAATAAATATT